GGCCAAAATGAATGTGATCGAGCTTGTAAGGCTTCAATGTGCACTCCTCTTTCCCACCCTCTGCAGTATTCTACTTTTGTTGAGCTCAGTTTCTTCTCTGACCTCCCTTGCGCCACTGTCTGCCAGGCTGTGCCTCGCATTTTTGCCAATGGCTTTCGTGTTCTTGCACAGCACGCAGATTCGCTCCGAGGGCGCCCTCTGCGTAAATCCGAATGCGGTTGAGTAAGGTGAATAGCTTTTCCGAAGGTTAAAATATTGCTTTGAAGCGTTTCGGTAGGGTATTGGCCGAAAACGAACACGCAGGACACGTGCTGATGGTGGTTTCCTCCCTCATTCTGTGCTGCTAGACAGTGGTTACGTGATCATAGCCTGTCAGGCTTACAAGAGGCTCAGCTTGAGCTTCAGCTTTTACATTCACCGCACGACAAAGGAATGCGTAGGGCAAGGGCAAGGGCATGATATCTCCGAATTTCACAGCCTGGTTCACATCCCATGCAAACCCTAATCCGCACAACGGATTTCCATCCGTTGTTGTTTCGTCTCGGCCAGCTGTCCGTCCGCTACGATTGACATTTTATTCTCCCTGCTACGATTGACTGAGCACGACGCCTGCGAGATTTCAGCGCTTGGCTGCAAATCTTGTCGTCTATCAAGCGGCGAGTTGAGAAACCCCTCACGCCCAGTCTGTGTGTCACGCTTTTGCATGTGGAGATTGCTCACCCTAAGAGGTACAGAACAAGAAACACAAGCTCAAATAGCTTTCAGCACTCGACCGACTTTCTTCAACCAAATGCATTACGAGAATGCTGCTCAAAGCTATTGAAGATTCATCAGAATCTACAAAATTTCAGTAGTCTGTCTAGTCCTTCAGGAGACAGATCCAGTTGGAAGGGCCCTTTGGATCCTTCGGGCTGGGCGTTCTGCGTGTCACCATGCCGCTGACTACGAGTTCAATGCTCCGGCGAGCATTGAGAGACTCAAAGCCAGGACTAAAGGCTTCAGCCTTCAGGGTGATCCATAAACGGCCCAACTTTGTCAAGTTTCGATCGTCTTTCCGGCGCATCTGCTAGTAACCTTAAGAAGACACTTCCATATCATTGGAGTGTGCTGAGATCGCCCGCCTGAGTTGAGAGGAGCAGCGTTTCTTGAAGGGACGGCTGGGATTCCTCCTGGAGGCCCTGTATGGAACCTAAACGCTCCCAGCAACCCCATGCTGACTTGGACGGATCTCATCCACCCAGTAACTTGACTGCACTGCAAGTGGCCACGTCAGCAGCCATCCTCCCAGCAGGCGTCAGCTCTGGTGGCCGTGAGAGTGAAGGAGACAACAGCATCAGCCATGGCGTTGGCCTGCGGAATCACGATCTGGTTCAGGGCCATGGTGCAGAGCAGGCTGCTGCTCCGGAGGAAGATGAGCTTCTTGCGAGCTTTGCCTTGGATCTATGGCTGCGACACGCCACACTCACGGCAAACCAGAGCATCGCAGCCCCTTCCTTCCCAACTCCTGCCGTTCAAACCGCTGCCACCGCAATCCCCGCCGTCCCGACCCCTGCAATCCCAACCCCTGCTGTCCCAACCCCTGCGGTCCCAACCCCTGCGGTCCCAACCCCTGCTGTCCCAACCCCTGCTGTCCCAACCCCTGATGTCCCAACCCCTGATGTCCCAACCCCTGCTGTCACAAATTCTGGACCAATGATGACTGGACACAGCATTGCAGCCTTTGGATCGACTTTGACTGCTACCACATGTCCTGCTGCCACAGCTCCCACCATCACCACTCCTGCCATCACCACTCCTGCCATCACCGCTCCTGCCATCACTGCATCTGCTATCCCAACCAGCAGATCTACGATGACTGGACGAGGCAACGCACCTTCCAGATCTACTATGACTGCCATCAGCGCTCCTGCCATCACTCCTGCCATCACTCCTGCCATCATCACTCCTGCCGCCACATGTCCTGCCACCACAGCTCCCACCATCACCGCTCCTGCCATCACCACCCCCACCAGCACCACTCCTGCCATCAGCGCTCCTGCCATCACCACTCCTGCCATCACTGCTCCTGCTATCCCAACTCCCGGACCGACAATGACTGGGCGAGGCCGCGCAACCTCTGGATCTGCTATGGCTGCCACCACCGCTCCTGCCAGCACCGCTTCTGCCATCACCGCTTCTGCCATCACCACTCCTGCCAGCACCGCTCCTGCCATCACCACTCCTGCCAGCACCGCTCCTGCCATCACCACTCCTGCCAGCACCGCTCCTGCCATCACCGCTCCTGCCATCACAGGCCCATTCGTCACAAGCACAATTCATTCAAACCCAACTGCAGTCACCCCAAACCCACCCCCTGGGCCTACAATGACCCCTGGTTCTGATCCAGTCACTGCGGGCGATCTAGAATGGGCTTCAGGCAACATGTGGCCTCCAGGCAGCATCTGGGATCCAGGCAACTTGTGGGGTTCAGGAAGCATTGGACTGCTACCAGCGTTCGTTCTGGATCCCGCTTCAATGCTGCATGACACCATCCTCCTCAGTGATGCTTCCCAAGATCAAGATCCTGCTCCATCAACGGCTGCCGGAGGCTCGTTGCCAATGCCATCAACGGCTGCCGGTGGCTCTTTTTCATTGCCTTCATCGGTCCGGGTTCAAAGTCTGCTGCTGCCGGGTGCAGTGCAGGGCGCAAGTCATGCTGCTACTCAAGATGCCGGGATTATGTCAGTTGATCGGGATCGGGGAAGTGCAAGCAACAGGCTGATTCCCTCTCCTCCAAGTCAGTCCGCAACTGCGCCTGCTGCAGCAGCAGGACCGACAGCAGCAGCAGTAGCAGCAGCAGCAGCAGCAGGTGCCACTGGGACACCAATCTTTTCCAGCAGTAACCGCCAATGGCCATTGGCCAACCGTCACTGGCAGTCTTCAGCTGATCGATCTACTACCAGCGGCAGCAGCAGCAGTGGCGCTAGCCCCAGCAGCTATGGCCAACCCAGCAGCAGCAGCAACCCAAGCCGATCCAATAGCCCTTCCCTTGCTGCGAAAAATCCCAGAGGAGATTCAATCGGAGGGTTGAGGCAGGAAGGGTATGCGGCAGTGATGGACCTTGCAAGGCAGCTGGCGGAAGCAGCAGCATTGGAGAGCCAAGTGCAGAGTTCTGCTGCTGAGGGAAATGCGGTGGAAAGCATTGAGATGGAGGGCAATGAGACTCTCATGGTAGAAGATGTGATGTCAGATGGTGGATTGCTGCCTATGGCGTTTCCAGCTGGGTCGGGTGATGCAAGGAAGAGGAGGAAGCAGCAAAGGGAGCTGGTGCTAGTTGGTACTGCTGCTGCTGCTGCTTCACCTGCTCCTGCACCTGCTGCTTCAGGGGTTGCTGCTTCTGTGCATGCTAATGCAGCGGCTGCTGTTTCTGCAACTGCTGCTTCACCGCATGCGTCCTTTAATGCCGGTGGTATTCCTACTGAAGCCCCTGCTGCAGCTGCTGCCACCACCGCCACTGTTGCTCCCTCTACTTCCAAAAGAAAGGGGAAGTTGCACCTGCCCACTCTGACACACACCCACCTCCTCTCACACCCTCCGTCCTCCCCTCCACTGGCTGCTGCCAGAACCGCACAGGAGCAGCTACCTTCCTTGCTGCACACCCACCCTGTAGACCCTCCTCCCTCATTCCCTCTGGCTGGCCTTTTGAGACGCCTCAACGCACAGAACCTGCCTACTTTACCCCATGGCCATCTCTCTATTCCTCCCTTTCCGCCCATACCGGATCCAACAGACCCATCCCTTGCTGCCCATTTTGCAGTGATGATGGGGTATGAGCAGCAGAGAGGGGAGATGGGAGGGGACGGGGAAGCAGGGCGAGGAACAGACAGAGGGGGGGAAAGAAACGCATGGGCACAGGCATGTGTGGGGGCTCAGGGACAGAGAAATGATGGGGCGGCAAGGGGGGAGGGAGAAGGGGTAGAAGAGGAAGAGACAGTAGCAGGGAGTGAGGCTGTGGCAAGGACACAAGCAGAGAGAGAGGCAGGGACAAGAGAACAGAGGGAGAAAGAGGAAGAGACGAAGGCACGAATACAAGCACGGGAAGAGGCAAGGGGACAGGAAGGGAAGGCAGGGGAACAGGTACGGATCCAGGGGCGGAATTTCCTAGCACAGCGGACAGTGCACCAGGAGACTACAGTGCAGCACTTGCAGGCAACTCAACAGCCACTGCAACCACTAGTCACAACGCAGCAGCAATTGGCAGCAGCAGCAGCAGCAGCAGCAGGTGCAAGCAAACCCCCCCCCAAGACACCGCCTACATCCTGGATGGTCTTGGAAATGGGAGGGGATCCGAGCCGCAGTGAAGACCTGCTGCTGTATGAATGCCGGTTCTGCGGAAGACGGTTTTCGCAGCCACAGGCACTGGGGGGGCACATGAATACACACAGACGAGGTGAGCTGCTTTGTTTCTCTCTCTATTCTCGAAAGGCTGTGAAGCTAGAGAGGATCCGAGCTGGAGTGAAGAGTTGTTGCTGAACGAATGCGACCGAATGCAGTTTGCGCAGCCACAGGCTCTGGGAGAGAACGTTGACGATGTGAGCTGCTTGCTTTTGATGCTTCAAAAAGTTCTGGAAACTGCGAGGGTGCGGCTAGGAGAGGACCGCACTCGTGTTGCTGCATTTGAATGGATGCAATTCGGCCATAAGTCTTACGCGCACTCCTCCTCTTGTTCCTCTTATATGTACTATTTTCTCACTCCCTCTCACCACCAACAGACCGGGAAGCAGAGCTTCTTGGACAAGCAACACAGCCACAATTATCTGGCATCCAGCCATTACCTGCTATGCAGTCACAGTTACCTGGTAACCAAGTACTGCCTGGCACACCCCTCACAAGCTCAACCCCGTCTGCACACACCACAGGCCCACAGGGCACCCAGCAGACCCACCTCTACCCACTCACCAACAGACCAGACAGCGTGGCTCGCCCTTGTGGTATTGGGACAATCGTCCCTGGGCCCCTCGCTCCACCCCTCGCTCCTATGGCTGCTCGGGTAACGATTCCTGCGCGATCCAGATTTAGCTATGCCTGGGATGCTTCCCCCAGTGCTGCCACTGCCTCTGCTGCTACTGCTGCTGGTGCTGCTGGTGCTGCTGCTGGAGGTGCTGCTGCTGGTGGTGGTGTTGCTGGTGGTGGTGCTACTTCTCATTTTTCTGTGGGTGACTTTCCTGCTGATTCTCCCATTTCCGTGCCTACCTCATTCCCCAGTGCTGCTGCATCTCTTCTAGCCCAGTACTACAGACGTCTCACGTCAACCTCTCCTGCTCGTCTTGCTACAACCAGTGCTGGTGCTACAGCCGGTGCAAAAGCCACTGGTATGGCAGCAAACCCCTCTCGCGGTAGCAGTGCCAGCGTCTCACCTGTCAGGCCACAAGCCACGCCAAAAGGACGGACCAGGCCTTCTGCTGCTTCAGCTGCGGCTTTTGCTGCTCCACTCATCCGCCGCCGAACAGCTAGCCCCATGCAAACCACACGCATTGACCACACAGCGCAGCAGAGCCCCGTCGCCTGTTCCCCCATGCAGCAGAGCCCCCCCACGCGTCCCCCCTTATCGCGGAGCCCCCCAGCTCATTCCCCGCCCCAATTTGGGAGAGACGACTCGCTCATAGGCACCAGGTTTGAGGCATGTGCGAGCAGAGCCGGACCATACCCTGGAGTAGGCAGAGCGCTCGCTAGTGTGCCTGGTATTGCCCCTGCCGGCACTGGCAGCGGCAGGAGCAGGGGCAGTGGCAGTGGCAGTGGTGGTGGTGCTCCTTGGGTTGACTCTGGAGGACAGGTATCAAAACTCGGTTCATCTGGCCTTGCTGGCCGCACAGGCTTGGCTGGAAGCACTGTTTGCAGTTCTGGTGATGCTGTATGCTGCAGCGGATCAGCAGCAGGCTACAGTTACAGTGTGAGCTCAAGTGCAAGGTTGTGCACTGGTCCGGCTGAAAATATAGATCCTCACGATCTGGCAGGTGAGAGGAGGGATCTGGAACACGTGGGGTTACGAGAATGTCCACGGGAGGGTGGTGGAGGAGGGGGAGGAGGAGGAGGAGGAGGAGGAGGAGGAGGAGGAGGAGGAGGAGGAGGAGGAGGAGGAGGAGGAGGAGGAGGAGGAGGAGGAGGAAGACCTGGCAGCCTGGCAGCATACCTTGGCATATGGCGTTCAGGGAAGCACCATCTAGGGGACTTACCCAGAGAAACACCATCCAGCCTCTCTAGGCTGTGCTCGTCAGACCCTTTAAGGCCAGATTCGTTAGGAGAACTTCTGGTGGACCGAGGAGTACAAGGGGGAGTGTTAAGTGGGGAGAGAGAGGCAGAAGTGGAGCTGGAGCAGCTGCAGAGGGAGTGGAGGCGACAACTGGATGAGCGGAGACGGACTATGCATTTTCAGAGAGGGTCTGGGGGCGAGGCGATGGCGATGGAGTGGCAGTGGCAGAGTCAGGGTGATGGGGAGGGTAAGAGGCATGGGAGGAAGCACGACAGGGATACTGGGAGATAATTGATACAATCGTGTGACAATAGCATGTTCAATACCATACGAAATAATGGATAGAATCATTTTTTCATGGCTTCAAACATTAGGGGCTTTCATGTAAATACCATAAGTGCACATTCGGGTTAGTCAATTAACCTTGTGTCCACATGTTGATGTGCTTTAAAGCTCTGTAGATGATGGAATGCACTTGATTTAAATGAAATAGGGGTTTTTTTTGTGTTCACAACCCTTGATGTTGTGGGGAGTTTGATATGAAAAACAAAGGCATCACCAATTTGTAGTCTCTTACTGTATTAGGTTTGTGAACGAGATAAATGTGTCGTTTGAGTTCGCCTCTTGCTTCCAGCGAATCGTGCAAAACAGGGACCTTGGGATTCAGACCTAGAGATCATCCTCGAGCTGGCTAGTGCTTCAGGAACTAAGCCTAGCAAACCGAAAGACGCAATGGAACACACTAGTTCCTTGGCTCATCAGCATTCGGTTTTGCTTCCGCAATTTGCCGGAGACAGGTTTTAGACTCTCGCGTAGATAGCCTTGTACAAGACAATCGGCTCGAAAGTGTTACTCTTAGATAGAGTACGCCTGCTTACTGTTTAGTGACTATTCTCCGGCGGTGCGCTAAGAGTTACTATCGAAAGGCATGGAGCTCTCGCATGCGTTGGAAGAGGCTGGGATTCTCGACGGCCTATTGGAGGCTGCAACGTCGGCGAAGCCACACGTCAGAAACCAGGCGCTTCGTGCTCTGAGCCGCTTCTCGCACTCGGAATACGTGAGGGCCCTTCTTCTCATCCATTATTTTGAGGCGCCTCAAGAATAGACTCCTCAAAGCCTAAAGAATATACTTATCTTCCACTCGGAATACGTGAGGGCCTTTCTTCTCATCCATTCTTTTGTTTTTATTGTTAGTTTCTTAATCCCTGGGAGCTTACGCTCCGCTCCTTCCTTCTCCCGCTGGAAATCTAGGAGGTCACGTCTTGCCGCGTGTTTTCGCCTTCGCACCGTCATCTCCCCCCCACCCCCCAATGTTTCCCCCCCACCATCACCTTTCGTCCTCGCCTTTGCCTCGTTTCAACGACCGACTCCCTCCCTCCAATGGGGGAAGCTAGTTTTGAGGCGCCTCAAAACTAGACTCCCTCCCTCCAATGGGAGAAGCTCGTTTTGAGGCGCCTCAAAACTAGACTCCCTCCCTCCAATGGGAGAAGCTCGTTTTGAGGCGCCTCAAAACTAGACTCCCTCCCTCCAATGGGGGAAGCTCCTCATCAATTCAAATACCGATCCTAGCTTAAACGATCAACAGCAACACCGTGTGTGCAAATTCTGTTTCGTGATTCTCTGCTTCTCTCCCCCTCATCCCCTTTCCTCACCTGCAGACCCTGGTAGAGATGTGCATCCTCTCCCTGCTCACGCGCACCCTCCCTCTCTCCCCTCCCCCTCCCTCTGTCCCACCACTCTCCCTTCTCCCTTCTCCCTTCTCTCTCCTCTCCCTTTTCTAACCCTCTGTGCTTCTGCCTGCAGACCCTAAAGTCTCTGTTGGTAAACAAGGGCATTCTCCCCCTGCTCACCCGCACTCTCTCCCACTTGCCGCCAGTGCCACCCATTTCTGCTGTTTCTAATGCGGGTGCTCGTGCCAGTGCTGCTATACCTGGTCCTGTTGCTTCTGCTGTTGCTGCTGCCGTTGCTGCTCATGCTGATGCTGATGCTGATGCTGATGCTGATGCTGATGGTGCCAGTGCCGCTATAGCTTGTCGTGTTTCTTCTTCTGTTGCTGCTACTGTTGCTGCTGGTGGTGATGGTGATGGTGATGGTGCCAGTGCTGCTATAGCTGGTCCTGTTGCTTCTTCTGTTGCTGCCACCGTTGCTGCTGGCGCAGCTGGGGTTGAGGAGGCTGAGGGGCCAGAGACGGAGGGGCAGTATGGGGTGCAGGAGCAGCAGCAGCAACCGCAGCAGGAGCAGCAAGAACAGCAGCAGCCGCAGCCACAGCTTGGAGCGAGTGAAAGCGATTGTAACTGTATGGCGTGCAGGCAGCAGTCGCTGGATGCCACTGTGGCGAGCTGCCTATGGGGGCTGGCCTGCGCCCACCCAGGGAACAAACGCAAGGTGGGTGGAGAGGGATGGGAAGGAGTGAGACAGTGTAGGAAGGTGTGAGACGGGGTGAGATGCTGCGGGACTGGGTTGAGATGGTGTTGTTTACAGTGCGAGCAGCTGCATGCCACTGTGGCGAGCTGCCTGTGGGGGCTGCCCTGCGCCCACCCAGGGAACAAACGCAAGGTGGGTGGAGAGGGGTGGGAAGGAGTGAGACGGTGTAGGAAGGTGTGAGACGGGGTGAGATGCTGCGGGACTGGGTTGAGATGGTGTTGTTTATAGTGCGAGCAGCTGCATGCCACTGTGGCGAGCTGCCTGTGGGGGCTGGCGTGGCGTGTGCGCACCCAGGGAACAAACGCAAGGTGGGTGGAGAGGGGCTAGGCGGTGCTGTTTTGGGAGGGGGTAAAGCGAGCCGCAGGAAGTTCACTCTGAGTGCGAGGATACATTACCCTTGTTTTGCTTTTGAGTCGAATAAAGGAACCCGGGGAACGAATGCAAGGTGGGCGGAGAGGGGTGAGGCGGTGCTGCTTTGAGAGGGGGTAAGGAGTCTATATTTGAGGCACCTCAAAAATAGACTCCTCACGGTGGGTGGCGAGGGGTGAGGCGGTGCTGCTTTGAGAGGGGGTAAGGAGGAGTGCCGCAGGAAGTGTACACTCACTGCGAGGATAGATACAAGCACCCTTATTTTATCGTTTCCCTCACTGAGGTGGTGTTTTAGAATTGTAAAAACAACTCAACTCATATGGGCTGGTGTGGCTCTGGTGGTGTGGTGCTCATGGTGTGATACTCTTGGTGTGAGTGTGGTGTGGTTGTATGCAGAGCAGCTTGGGGAAGAAGGTGCTCTGGAGCTGCTGGCTCGAATCTTGCACCACCATTTGGAGCACCACTCGGATCATCATTTGGAGCACAGCCCCTGCTGCAACCATCGCGCACCTCGGCATGAGCTGAAGAAAAAAAGAACGAGAGCTGCGAGGCACGACAACGCCGGGAGAGACTTGACGTTTGAAGACGATGTGCTGGCGCTGAAGCACTGCTGCCTTGCTGTGTGGAGCATCTGCTACTCTGTGAGTAAAATGGTAGATTCTGTAGGGCATGGGAAGAAGGATGACAGCAGCAAGTGCCCCATTGTTGAGCATGGGACGCATGGTAGCAGCAGCAGCAGCAAAGGCGATGTGCTGCTGGCGCTGAAGCACTGCTGCCTTGCTTTGTGGAGCATCTGCTACTCTGTAAGAAAATTGAGACATGATAGGTTTTTGAGAAATCTCAAGAACCTATCACAGCATCTAGGACTCAAAGAAATTTGAGACGTCTCAAGACTCGATATGCTGCTGGCGCTGAAGCACCGCTGCCTTGCTGTGTGGAGCATAGGGTTGAGGAGTGTGTTCTGTGAGTGTGTTCTGTTTACATACCTCTTTACATACCTCGTTAAGGTCAATATAAAGCTCATGATTTCCTCAATATAAAGCTCATGATCTCCTCCTATCTCCTCCTCGCTCCCTCTCAGGTGGACTCTAACTGCCTTCGCGCCGAATCAGCAGGTCTGCTGCCTCTGCTGCTCGCCCTGCTTCGCCACCGTCGGCCCTCAGTGCAGGTAGCCTCCGGGTTTGAGCTTGGGAGCCTCCGGGTTTGAGCTTGGGAGCCTCCGGGTTTGAGCTTGGGAGCCTCCGGGTTTGAGCTTGGGAGCCTCCGGGTTTGAGCTTGGGAGCCTCCGGGTTTGAGCTTGGGAGCCTCCGGGTTTGAGCTTGGGAGCCTCCGGGTTTGAGCTTGGGAGCCTCCGGGTTTGAGCTTGAAGGCGTTTATCCATCAACCCTCACTGCACACATCTTAAGATTTTTGGCTGTTTGGCTTGCCACTTGCCCTACCACACATCCCCCCCCCAACCTCCCCCCAACCCCCCCCCCAACCCCCACGTTTTCTCCCCACCTCCCCACACACCACCAACGCGCAACCCGACCGCCTCTTCTCTCTTTCTCTGTCCCCCATTCCCCCACACAGTATGCGGCACCAGGAGAGCTCTGGCACACTTAAAGCCAATCCAAGCTTTTCCTCTCCTCGCTTTCCTCTTTCTATCTCAACCCTTCCCTCCGTTTCCACCGCAGTACACAGCAGCCGGAGCACTGCGGCACATTTTACCCATGTAAATCCCCCCTCCTTCTGTTTATTCCTACCTACCTCCTCCCTTTCCCTCCCCCTCCACCACACAGTACGCAGCAGCCGGGGCTCTGTGGCACATTTCAGCCAATCAGAGCCTGGGACCCACCCTGATCGTGCACTACAGGTGTCTACCTCCCCTTATGGGCCTCCTTATGGACTCTCTGCACCAGTCAACGCCAGTCAACTGCGGTCTGTGCCAGTCAACGCAAGTCAGCTGCAGCCTGTGCCAGTCAACGCAAGTCAACTGCAATCTGGCTCAGTCAACGCCAGTCAACAGTCATCCCTGCAAGGACAGGATCGGGGAAGGGTCAGGAGCAAGGAGAGGGCAAGAGGGGGGGGCATCCTTTTCTTCACCAGGGGCGGGAAGAGGGCAGGGGGTGATTGACGACGGAGCAGGGGGGCGAGATGGGCAAGAGGGGGGAGCATCCTTTTCTTCACCAGGTGCGAGAAGATGGCAGGGGGCGATTGAAGAAGGGGCAGGGGAGCGAGACAGGGATGGGAGGGAAGCATCCCTTTCTTTCCCAGAGGAGACAAGAGGGCAGGGGATGATTGAAGACGGGATAGGGGGACAAGGCGGAGAAGTGGGGGGAGGGGAGGGAGAGAGAGAGGAGATTGGGATGGGAGAGTGTAGAGAGCAAGGAGGGGGAGCAGGAAAGGACGGGAGTGGGCCAGAGGGATGGGTAGGAGATATGGGGGCAGTGCGAATGAGTGGAAGTGGGGCAGTGCAGGGAGAGGGGGCGGGAGTGGAGGTGGGAGGGGGAGAGGAAGTTTTTGATTCGACTCAAAAGCAGACAGTGGGGGGAGAGGGTGAGGGAGTAGAGGTGGGCGGGGGAGAGGCAGAAAGAATGGACAGTGAGAGGGCGTATGACAGGAGGGAAGGTGAGGAGGAAGGGGAGGAGGAAGGGGAGGAGGAAGGGGAGGAGGAAGAGGAGGAGGAAGAGGAGAAAGGTGAAGAGGAGGCAGAGGAGGAAGAGGAGGAGGAAGAGGTGGAGGAAGAGGAGGAGGAAGAGGAGGAAGAGGAGGAGGAAGAGGAGGAGGAAGAGGAGGAGGAAAAGGAGGAGGAGGAAGAGGAGGAGGAAGAGGAAGAGAAGGAGAAACTGGAGGAGGCTCGGTTGTACGCATGCCTAACTCTAGCCAACCTCTCTCTCTTGCTGGACAGTCAATGCGGGCAAGAGGATAACAACGCTATCGATTATTCCAAGTCAAAGCCCATGATTCCCCACACCATATACCCCTCTCCCATAAACCCCTCTTCCATTGACCCAGCTCCCATAAACCCTCCCACAACTCCCTCTCCTATACTGCACGCAGCACGTCTCCTCCTCCTCTCCTCTCCCGCACTCCCCTCCATCTCCTCTTTCCTCCTCTCCTCCGACCCCTCCTCCCTCCCACTCCACCTCATCTGGACCACTGTCTCCCCGATCGTACGGCTCCTGCGCTGCCACGTGGTGCAGATCCGTGCGCTGGGTGCGCTGCTGGCAGCAGCAGTGTGCAAGGGGAGGAGCGGGAGGGAGGAGCATGGAGCAATGTTCTTCCTGGAAGGAGCAGTGGGCATTCTGGTGGAGATGGCAAAGGTTGGGCCAGTGAAAAGTTCGATGGGAGAGGTAACAGGTCCGGGGAAGGGGGAGGAGCAGAGGAAGGAGCAGAGGAAGGAGCAGAGGGGGAAGAACATGGAAGAGCAGAGTGAGGAGGAGAGGGAGGAGGCAGAGCAGGAGGAGGAGGGTCAAGTGCAGGCTAAAGCAGCAGAGTTTGCTCGCCTTGCCTTGGGCTACCTCGGTGTGCCTCTGGCCGATGTGGTGTCATCCATTGGCGATTCCAATGAGAGGACCACCACGGTACGCGAGTCCCCCGGCGCAGTGCCTTGTGGTGATGCTGGGGGAGACAGCCAAGGTCAGTGTTCCAGCCGAAGCAGCCCTGTCCCGTCTGCCATAGTGCCTTCGATTACCAGCTGCTGTTTGCTGTGCTGTGAGGAGGCGGAGTGCCCTCCCATTGCAGGGTGCGGTCATGCTGTCGTCTGCTCCTCCTGCCTCCTCTGCCTCGTCTCTAGGAGACAACCCTGCCCCATCTGCCGCACTGCAATCAGTTTGTAGGCTTGGACTATGGTGAGGTGCTGCTGGTACCAGGCATGGCCCATGTGCCGCAGTGCAATCACCCTCTAGTTGCTGTTTGGTCTGCTGTGAAGAGGCCGAGTGTCATCCCATTGAAGGGTGCGGCCATGCTTGTAGAGATAGGGTTTAGCTAGGGAGAAGGACTTGCGAGGAGAAAGAGGGGTGACTAGAGAAGAGAGAGAGGTACAAGAGGAGTTGTCCCCTACCTAGCCTACACATATATATATATAAGCAACAGACACACGCCCTAGGCTTGGTAGGTGCTACTTACAAAAGCATGAGACCAGGGCAGCACTGTCAAATATAACTTAGTATGTTATTGTAGACTATATAGGTTTGTGCCTTAGAGGGTACAACACACTAGCCTATATTGCCTTGTATCCTCACATTCCAGTCATTCTTGTATTCTAACATGGTATCATGAGTAGGTTAGGTCCACCTCGCCCACCAGCGCTTCCGTCCTAGGTCCTATCCGCCCGTCCCCTAGCCGGTCCCGTGGACGCCTCCTAGCCGGCCCTGGCACTCGTTCCGTAGCGGCCCCCGCGCCCGTCCGGAGAAGGCCCCCACGCCCGTCTGTAGCGGCCCCTGCGCCCGTCCGTAGCCGGCTCCCGCGCCCGTCCGTAGCGGCCCCCGCGCCCGTCCGTAGCCATCCCCTGCGCCCGTCTGTAGCCGGCCCCCGCGCCCGTCCGTAGCGGCCCCCGCGCCCGCCCGTAACGGCCCCCGCGCCCGTCCCTAGCGGCCCCCGCGCCCGCCTGTAGCGGCCCCCGCGCCCGCCCGTAGCGCCCCCTGCGCCCGTCCGTAGCGGCCCCCGCGCACGTCCGTAGCGGCCCTGGCGCCCGCCCGTAGCAGCCCCCGCGCCCGTCCCTAGCGGCCCCCCGCGCCCGTTCCGTAGCGGCCCTCCCGCGCCCGTCCATAGCGGCCCCCGCGCCTGCCTGTAGCGGCCCCCGCGCCCGTTCCGTAGCGGCCCTCCCGCGCCCGTCCGTCGACGGCTCCCGCGCCTGTCCGTCGCCGGCTCCCGCGACCGTCCGTAACCGGCCCTCGCGCTCGCCCCGTCCCCGGGCTGCGCCCGACCCATCGCCGGCCCGTCCCCGCCCCGCCCCTGGCCCGCACCGGCCCGCTCCTGCGCCCGGCCCTGACGCCCAGCTGCACATCATGTGCAGCCGGCCCCTGCATCGCAATACACCGCCCGGCACTTCTCTGCACCGCACTGCGCCTCCCTGCCCCGCACTGCACCGCACTGCACTGCACTGCACCGCACTACACCACCCTGCACTGCACTGCACCACTCTGCACCGCACTACACCGCACCACCCTGAACCACAGCTGCATCGCCCCTGATGGCGGACTCTGTGCTGCGGTTTGACGCGGAGGGTCAGCCGATCGAGTTTGACACGTGGCTCGTCGACCTCCGCCGCCATCTGACTGGGCAGCAGTAGGACGGCCACTCCTTGGCTGTCCACCTTGACGGTACGCTCCCCTGTCCTGACCCCCCTGCTGCGCTGCCCGCTGACCCCACGTCTGCTGAGCGTGAGTCCGCTGCCGCTGCAGCCCTTGCCCGCTCGGTCTGGTTATCGCGTGACGATGTTGCACAGCTAGCCATAAGTCATGCCCTTCCCCTGTCTGAGCGTCCCCACTTTAGGTCGGTCAGGACCGCCCAGGAGTTTCTAGATGCTGTTATTGAGCGCTATTCCACCCCGTCTTCTGCCTCTGTCGGTCGCCTGATCCTGCCTCTGCTGTTACATGATTTCGCGTCCTTCCCCATTGTCGCTGACCTAGCCGCCCACTTGCGCTTGCTAGACTCGACCTGGCGCTCTGCCTGCACTGAGGCTCAGCTTCGCGTGTTCCAACCCCCCCTCTGCGCTACCCTCTACCTGCTTGCCACTCGCCTCCCTGACCGCCTTGCTACTACCCGCGATCACTTTCTCAGTACTCACCCTGCCGAACTCACCCTCACTGACTTTGTCGACACCCTGTCTGCCATAGAGACCCGCCAGCGCTCTATCACCCAGTCCAGCGGTACTGTGCCGGTCTCTATCTTCCAGGGCTGTGCGCCCGCTCAGTGCACCTTCTCTGACGGCTCTGCTGCCGTGGCTGAGACAGCCGCGGCAATACAGGTTCGTCCGGGAAAGGGCCGCCGCCCCAAGGCTGGGCGCGGCGGTGGTGGGGGCGGAGGAGGTGGGAGTGGAGGAGGTGGTGGAGCCAGGTCGTCCGCTGGGGGTGCTGATGAGGGTGCTGGGCCTAGCACCACCGAGCAGCAGTCTCAGTTGCAGCAGCAGGTTCCACCGCTCGACCAGCAGCCGTCGTAGCAGCAGCAGCAGCAGCGGCAGCAGCAGCGGCGGGTTGGTCGTCTCCCGCCCGGGTGGCCCGGTGCTGGTGGTGGTGGCGGTCGCGGTGGTAGTGCGCGCGGTGTGACGTTGGGTGGTGGGTTGGGCAATGCGCGCTGCCAGTACCAGCTCCAGACCGAGCCTCACCGTGGCCTCGTGTGCGGTAAGCTCGGTCACACCCCCCCCCCCCGCTGTTTCAGTCGCATGGACGACCTGTTTCGTCTGCGCTTCAGCCCGTCGCCCGACCTCCCCGACTAGCTCAGTTTGCCTCGTTGTGGTGTTCAGATCTTTGATATGGATATGAATGAGATTAGTTCTGCGTTGCATGTGCTGTATGTTGATGACTCTAGTGTGCTTGGTTCCGCTTACCCCGTATTGCCTAGCGTCGGTGTGCCTAGCTCAGACCCCCCTGCTACGTCAGGCGTAGGATCCCCTGTTCTGTTTAGTCGAGGCTCCACTCCTGCTTCTTCGACCACTGCCGCCACAGCAGCGCTCTCCTTCACCCTTGACTCCGGCGCTTCCCGGTGCTTCTTCCGGGACTCCACTACTCTCACGCCACTTGTCGCTCTCGCTACAGTATCCCTGGCTTACCCTTCCTCCGGTCCTGTCGTAGCTCATAGCTCCATTACCCTTCCCTGTCCGGCGGCTCCTTCGGGCTCCCTTACCGGCCTGCACATCCCCTCGTTCTCTAGGAACCTAGTTGGTGTCGGTTGCCTTCAGGACCTTGGTGTCACCACTACGTTCCCTGGTCACGAGCGGTACGCGGTCTATACCGAGGCCGCCACTGGTGCTCCCCTCACCACGTTCCCCCGGGACCCGGTGTCCGGCCTGTTCACACTGGACACCCCCCCCCCCCCCCCCCGGTTGGGACGTCTCCCCAGGTGACTGTGTCACCTCAGGTAGCTGCGGCTTGCTCGTGTCGGTCGCTTACTCACCCGACACTCCTGTGGCACCACCGTCTAGGTCACCCTGCCCTTCCCCATCTTCGTCATATGTCTCAGCACGGTCTTGATTTAGGTCTCCCTGGGTCGCTCCCCGCACTCCCCTCCTCAACTGCGCCGCCATGTACCCCTTGCGTCGAGGGCCGGCTCCGTCGTGCCCCTCACTCCTCCTTGTTCCCCCCACCACCGCACCCTTGCAGACCTTGCACATGGACGTTTGGGGCCCTGCCCCTGTCCATGGGCCGCGTCGTGAGCGTTACTTCCTCATCCTTGTTGACGACTACACTCGTTATACCACCGTGTTTCCCTTGGAGCGGAAGGCCGACGTGCCTGACGTTCTTATCCCGTGGCTCGTCTCTGCGCGTGTGCACTGCGGCCTCCCTGTGTTGCGCCTCTACTCTGACCGCGGTGGCGAGTTCGCCTCTGGTTGCCTTGGGCGTTTCTGTCGTGCGGAGGGCATCACTCAGACGTTCACCTTGCCAAACTCCCCACAGCAGAATGGGGTCACTGAGCGACGCATCGGTTTGGTCATGGAGGTGGCTCGTACCTCCACTATCCACGCTGGTGCACCCCATTTTCTGTGGCCGTTCGCTGTCCGTTACGCCGCTCACCAGCTTAACCTGTGGCCGCACCCTCTCCGGCCGCAGGTTTCGCCGACCCTTCTCTGGACCGGGTCTCCTGGTGACGCGTCTGCGTTCCACATCTGGGGCTGCCTTGCTCACGTTCGTGCCTCTGGCACGCACAAGCTCACTGCCCGCACACTCCCCTATGTCTACGGCCCTGTCTTCCCTCCTCCGGACTCGTCTCTGGCTTGCCTTCCCCCTCGTTCCCCTCCTGTCACTCCTCCTCTGTCTCCTGACCCGACGCCCCCGTCCCACGTCTGGTCTCCCCGTCCCTCTCGTGCTCGTCCTGTCTCTCATGTTCAGCATTCTCACCCTATGTTGCTTCGTTCCCACGTGTCTCGTCCTCCCCTCCTGCCTTCACCTCCTCCGCCATCGCTCGCTGTCGCGTCTCCCCCTCTGTCTGAATACCTTCGTGCTGCTCGCCCTCTTGTTCCTCGGGTCCTTGCCTCACTTGTTACCGACCCGTCTGTTCCTGTTTCCCGTCTTGACACCCTTGTCGGTGCTGTCGCTGACTTCGCCTCTACCCGCCGCCTTGACTGCGCCACCGCTCTGGTCTCTGACCCTGCCTGTCCTCCGTCTGTCGGGGGTGCTCCTGCCCTTGGAAGTGACGTCTTGGAGGACCGGCTGTCACAGGATCGATTGAGGTTTGCTCAATGTTGCACTATCAATCAGTACAAGGTGCTTTTATACTTCCAGAGTACATCAGGTAACCAGGTTTATCCTATCCAAAGGGAATAGACCCTTCTAGAAATAGAATCACCATGCGTATAGCCACGCGAGGCTATTGGCTATAAGGGATTACGGCAGGATTACGCTAGATATAGCGTGCCAGTACATCCCGAGCCTGGTCGGTGATATAATTATAATAACAGGATAAACCAAAGGATCATGGAAAAGGAGGAATAGGAAACCAAATGAGATGAGATAAAGACCAAATGAATCAGGATAAAAAATGGAATGAAATAGAAAGGAAATATGGAAAGGGAAAATTAGTGTAACGGGGTCGTACTCTCACACTTCCCCCCCTCAAAGCTGGGTGGTAGAAGTAACACCCTGCTTGACAAGGTTGTCGCGAAGAGGATGACGGGCGTTACGCATGTCGAATTCAGAGACACAGCCATAGAAGGATCAGAACCCTTCCAGCAAAGAAGAAGCTCCAGAGTGCCATTCTGATGACAACGGTGTCCAAGCACGTAGCTGTCCCATGTCGTGGATGAACACGGGCGACGACGGTGGTTGGCATTCGGTGTAGAGCGTGTTTGGTCTTGATAGGGTTTAAGAAGCTGGTATGGAAGGCGTTATGGATCTTCCAAGTGGCTGGTTGGCGTAAGCGGAAGGTAACAAGAGTGACCTATGCTTCAACGAGGAAAGGCCCGCAGAAGCGAGGTCGCAGTTTGGATGGGAGATGGCCGATATCAAGATTGCGCGTGTCGAGCAGTACTCGGTTTCCCACGGTGATGGTGTGGTCTGTGCGGTGGCGATCGGCCTGACGCTGC